CTGATCTGCCTCGCCAGAGAAGAGCGCAATGATGGTGCCAACTTGGGCCAGTGAAGCAACATCCTCCACAACTAGATTGAAGAACAAAACGACAGCAACTAGTCTGTTCCCCTTCCCCCAATTCCCCAGCACTGTTCCCATCCCCCCAATTCCCCAATAAAAATCTTTAAAAAAAATCTAAAAGACAGAGTGTTTCAAGGCAAATAATTGTCACTCAGAGATACTAAAGTTGATCGGGCTGTGAGCCTACTAGACTCAGGCCAATTACTTCATGAAAGGATAGGACTATATTAATGTTCCCAGCAGATGGCGCTAGCTGCCTTCTGCTGTGATGAGATTTTCACAGTGTGATCAATTTAGCATCAAAATAGGTTTCTTCATATGATGATTGAAACTAAATCCTGGCCAGGTCAGGGATTTAATTAGGAAAGAAATCCTTCAGTGGGATTCCAAGAGATGCTAAATAGGAAAGAAAAAATCTGGAGCTTTTAAATTTATTTTTCACCAATCATATTGTTTCATTCACATCATTTGGGGCTCTGAAAAAGTTAAGAATTCTTCCAAGGCAGAATTTTAGATTAAGTCCCAAAAGACAACAAAGTATCAAGAATTAAGATACCTGAAATATTTTTATTATTTGATAGGATGATTAATGAAGGGCTCATACTGGAGAAAGCTTTCCCATAACAAGGATAAATCACTGAAGGAAACCACCAGAAAGGGGACATTAATTAGAGATGATTGAAATCAGCCAATGTTTCTGCTGCTTCACTACTTACAAATAAATATAGTGTTCTGTTCACATTTTGAGCTCCAGGCTATGCTTTTTTTTTCAAGCAAACAGCAGAAGTGAAAGCATTTACATCTCTGAGCAAGAGTTAACTCTCTTTGGGAAGGCAGGGAACATAATATTCGGTTGTTAGAAAAGTCATGACACATGTTTGCAACACATGGCACTAGTTCATTTTTGGAAGTTCTAGAGTCATTCGCATCTATGTTATTGCTATGTCATTTGACAGCTGACATTCTGGCTTTATTCTAAAAAAAAATTGAACGATTTGGTTGAGTTTTGGAGATTTTACAAGTTGAAGATGGAAGACCAAACCATGCATTTTTGCCATATTTTACTGTTTTACTTCCATAAAGGGAAGAACGCACGTCAAGCTTGTGAAAAGTATCATAAAGTTTGCGGTGACAATGCTCTACAAGAACATCAGTGCCAATGATGGTTTACAAAATTCCGTGCTGGTGATTTTGGTCTCAACAACGCTCCTCGGTCAGGGAGGCCCACCGAGGTTGATGATGACAAAATAAAGGCATTGATAGAGTCAAACCCACATTACATGACATGAGAGATTGCAGAAACATTGAACATCCATCATTCAAGCGTTCACGACCACCTGAAGAAGCTGGGATAAGTAAGCAAGCTCGATATTTGGGTTCCTCATGAACTCAAAGAAGTTCATTTGATGGTGCATATAAACATCTGCAATATGCTCATTAAACATGAGGAAAACAATCCTTTTTTGAAGAGACTGATAACTGGTGATGAGAAGTGGATTGTTTACAACAATGTGTTGTGCAAACGGTCTTGGTCTCGACGTGATGATTCGCCTCAAACGACATCAAAAGCAGACATTCATCAGAGGAAGGTTATGCTCTCAGTGTGGTGGGATTTTAAAGGTGTTGTGTTTTTCGAGCTCCTACCAAAGAACCAAACAATCAATTTGAATGTGTACTGTCAGCAATTGGACAGTTTGAACGAATTCATCATCCAGAAACATCCAGAGCTTGTTAATTGTAAAGGAGTTGTGTTCCATTGCGACAACGCGAGACCACACATAAGTTAGATCACCTGTCAAAAATTATTGGAGCTTGGATGGGATGTGTTGCCACACCCACAATACTCGCCTGACCTTGCGCCATCAGACTGCCACTTGTTTTGCTCTCTTCAAAACTCCTTGCATGATATAACGTTCAATTCAAATGAGGCTGTAAATCAGCACTTTGTCCAGTTTTTCACAAATAAAGACAGGTCCTTCTGTGAACGAGGAATTATGAAGCTCACTGAACGATGGCAAAAAGTTATCGAACAAAACGGGCAATATATAATTGATTGATCTTTGTTCTTTATATAAATAAACGACCTTTGAAAAACAGACAAAATACGTTATGACTTTTCCGGCAACGCAATATGTTATCCTTGGAATCATCTTCACAGTCTGGTGCAGAAAGTAAAACTTGATTAATTAAGTCTTCTTAAACACCTGT